TGCTACTCCTTGGCTCCTTCTTAATGCTGTCATTCAGCCACACCCCTGATCTTCTGGTAGGAAAGATCTACGCCTAGCCTTCTCGGACAAGGGCGAAAAATTTCGGAGGGTCTGTGTACAAGTGGCACACGTTAAAGATCCGTTGGTGGTCTACAATTGATAAGAATAGGCCTCGGCCGTCACCTTGGCAAAATTTTAAAAATTCCTACCAACTGAAATAGTTTAATGTGTCCCGCGCGCTCATATGAACTTAGGCAGTTGCGAGCACCGTAAAACCCCTAGTTACTTCGTGAGTTGCTAAACCTGCTGTCCAAGTTTTCCACTGGATTATGTAGGTTTTCTCTTTATTGGTTTAAAAAAAAAAATTGTTTAACCCTATCCGTACGATCGTATTCATACGACGAGGGGAACTCTGCCACCACTTTCAAAGAGGAAATTTACTCGTTAATCCGATCCGTCCGCTTTGCATAGCAGTCTGTCAAAATGATTTTTGGAGATAAACAGAAAGTTTCAAAGAGATCTTCGTACTAGAAGTATTCTAAAAATACTAAAATGTGAAGAATACAACCCCGGGTGTACAAAATGACCCCAGGGCGTAGGGATAGGGTTAAATTGTATTTTTGGTCGGGAGGAAAAGGTGGAAGAGGGGGAAGGCGCTACGCAGGAGAAAACGCAATGAAAAGACACGATGGAAAGAAAAATGTTGTTGAGGATGAAATCAGTTGTTCAGATGTGAGCTGTGCTGTCAGTCTTTGGTTAGAACCACTAGGCCTATAGTGCGTTAAAAAATCGAAGCGCAGCTTATTGTCAAATATCCCCTTAACTATCGAACATTTTGCACATTAACTTATATCAATTTGTCTTAGATCTAACCTTCGAATATTTTTGCAAATACCTGCACACTGTATTCTATTTTTAAAAATCCCACACTAATTAAAAAAAATTCCAAGTTGAAGATTTCTACAGATCTTTTAAAAGTTTACAGCTCGGACAATATCGCTTTTTAAAGTCCGCCATTCTTTTTTTTTTCTAATCGCAACGTTCTGCTTATTGAACGCATCTTTTGAAAACCTTGAGATCAAAATTCAAAGGGTTCACTATAAAATTAATTTCTTGTAAGAAGTTTTTCCACCCAAAGGTTTCATTTGTGAGCTGTGACATGGGGCCATGTAGGCCCCTATACCTAGATCTATGCAACATGTGTGGAAGAAGCGGAAAGTGCTCTGAACAGTATCATTTTCCGCGTGATGGAGATTTATAGTATTTTATATAAATCTATAAAGGAAAGTTTTTAGATCTAGCTTTTGTAGGAAAATATGATTAAGTTAAGACAAATTGATACAAACTGCTGTGCAAAGTATAGGGGTGGAAAGGGGGGGGGTCACTAAAGAGATGCATAACCTGAGGATAAGTTGCACCTCGAATTTTTGACCGTACTGTAGGCCTATAGTCCCTATAGATTTAGATTTAGATCTAGCCTACAAAGCATGCGTAGCAAACATAGTCCGTCTTATTTGACACTTAAAATCCGCACAGGAAGCTGTGATTGTGTTCAGCGACAGTGATCTATAGCTAGAACAAAAGTAACACAACTACTGCTTTTATATATATATTTTTTTTTAAGGGCTGCAGTGAAGAACTTGCTGACTAATCGCCACAACACTGTAGCCCAATGTAGACATAATACGGGGTGCCCATTGGGGGGATCGGGTCGGGTCGGGTCGGTTTTCGGTTTCCTAGCCAGATCGACGGTGCAAAGGGGCTATCGTGGCACAAGCCGATCGCACCCAACTCGTCGCCTCAAGAACAAACACGTTTGTTTTCAAGCGATGAGTCGGGCGATCGACCCTATCCGACCCGATCCCATCAGCAATGGGCGGGCACCCCGTAGGGATGCTTGGCAGGTGCCCTGGCGTGATGTGCTCCTTCTTTCCAATCAAATATATCGTACTTATCTCTCCTTCTTAATTAAAAAAAAATGTCTTTGTTTGGTGAGTGTTTATTACTAATATTAATCTCCTATATCTTTTAGATCTCTTATTTTCGGCTCTTATAAATATGACCTGACTGTGGAGTCGGTTGTCTTTCTGCAAATGCCACAGACAAGACAATAGACTATAAATTGCGAGTAAGTTCGTTTCATGATTACAAGAACATTAATTTAAATGCTGTCGGGAAGGGGAGGGGGGGGGGGGGTGCTCCGTACAACTATTAATCATAAGGTAAAGAGTAGAAATTCCTGCGTCGCTCACTTTTTGGGTTTATTTTATACAAGAGGCATTTATTTTTACCAATGACGGATGAAAATTTAAAATTCTAAAGAGTCTAGCAGAAGCTGAGACCCCAGTAAGGAATCAAAACAGACTTTCACTTTCCTCGTAGGTCTATAGGAGGCATATGCTTCTCACAATTTGATCTGCTTAGGCTTATAATAGAATTATACCCAGGTTCCCAAGGCCCAAGCAAATCTTCCTACTTCTTCAGAATAATTTACATGTAACGAACAAACAAACAAACATACTCTCACACATCCACCACAAAATAAAGAAATTTATTAACTATATTATGATCCTGTATCTTTCATGAATGCAAATTAATTTACTTAGCTTTTATGGTTGCAACCCCCTCCCCCCCCCCCTTCCGAAAAAAAGTACGGCAAACTGAAACCCTTCTCTCTTTATTTCCTCAAACTTCGAGAGCAACGCCACGCTCAAAATCGGAACGAAAGCGGTGAAACTTGATAAAATCATTCACAGGCAAGAAAAAATGAGAGAGAGCGCACCTAAACCCCGCCCCCGGCACCCTTCTCCATCCTTATTGATCATCATCCTTAAAATGGGTGGGATCTTCTCGACGAATGACAGCCAGGTGCTCTCTTCTCATTCATAGCCGCCCGTACGCGAAGACCTTTCATTCATTCAATACTCTGGGACTACGCCTTGACCTAGTTGTTCGCCCCTCTCTCGCTCGCCCCCGCCGATTGGTTGGCTGAGATCAAATGTAGGTCATAGTATCGGATAGTTTTGCATGGAGCTCGTTGTATTCTTTTATGAACGTACTAGGCCTAGGCTGAAAGTAAATTCCTCGGGATCAAGGGTTCTGCTGTTCTGTCCCTGCAGACAACTTATACTTTGTGCATGGGCTATAAAACTTGTGAAAGAAAATTAAACGTAACAGGAACATATATAGTGGCCTTATTACTTAAGCCATTTAAAATCCATTTTTCTTCGTCTTTCTTAAAAACAGAAAGGAGACTACTGGTCTTGTAACAACAAGATCTACTAAATCTGGATTTAGATCTAATCTAGATCTAGATTCTAGATCTTAGATCTAGGTGTAAAATTTATTATTTTTAGACTAGGCCTAGAAGTCTAAGGGATGAAGAATCTGCAGCAATCTTGTTTAGAAAAAAAATATATTAAAATCTTTTCCATCCGAACTAATAGCTTAATCCTCGGGAGATCGACGTTCAAGGATGACATTTCCCCCCTTTCTGAGTATGATTTAGATCTAGATCTAGATAAAATCTAGATCTACTTGAAATTATTTGAACTTTCTTTGCAAGAAAAATTCTAAAACTTCTTTGAATCTTTTTGAGTTCTCAGAGGAACATGCAAGACCCAGTAAGAATTAATGTAATCTAAATCTAGATCTAGATCTACATCTAAATGAAACACAAGCACTTCTAACTTTTGTTTTTTAAACACTAAAATCAGCGATAAGTAGGCCTACTAACATTTAATCGGAAAGCGGCATGTTTTTAGACATTGGGTTATTCGATAGCCTAATCACCTTCTCCCTGTCCAGTTTGTCTCTTCTTTTTCAAAAGAAAACATCTATTCGTGGGAAGATTTGAAAATGAGCGTTTGCGCACGCATGTGCGTGTGAGTATGTGTGTGTATTGTGTGTGTGTATGTGTGTGTGTGCGTGTGCGTGTGTGTGTGTGTGTGAGAGAGAGAGAGAGAAAGAGAGAGAGAGAGAGGGGGGGGGGTTCAGAAATAAAATCGGATCAGACAATATCGGAAACTAGATCTAGATCTATTCGAATGTACCATTGTTAAGGGGAAATCAGAAGCCCAAAAAGTTTTAAAGAAATGGGAACGCTCTTTGTCCCGACGCAGATTTCTAGACAAGAGATGTCTATATCTAGATCTAGACCTTTATCTAAGCTTATGTTAGCTGTTTTAAACTTTTTTAAAGTAGACAAGTGAATAGGCCTGAGTTATGTTGGCAACGAAATGCCGGCCTATCTTCCAAAACTTTATCCCCAAAAAAACATCACCACACACACGCACAAAAACACTGATTTGTCTAGATCTAACCGTCGTTCGTTAGTAGTTGTTTTTTAAACTGTCAACTTATTTCGATGATAGACCACAAACCAGTGTCAGGACGAACTCGCTTTACAGAAGTCACTGTCAGAAGTCGCGGAAGTTTGAGAAAGAGAAGGCACGTCGAATGCCCTCACAAACGCGAAGCTGGGACCAGGCCCACCACACCTCGCCGCTGCGCGAGTGACCACCCATATCTTTAGCCTAGGACACACACACACACACACACACACACACAGGTCGGCCCAATGTGCACTTGTGAATATTCATGAGCTTTTGCAGAAAAAGGAAAAAGATTTACGCTAAAACAAAAGATAGTTCAACGTTCATATCATAATTTAAAATTCTTCAGTCATTTATGGAACCATTGCACTAATTACTTTTGCATTACATGCTATTGTTTTGGAAGAAACTGCAAAAGATTTGCAACTTATTATCATTTTCTCCTATCTCGGATCTCTGTGCGCATGCGCGGACGTCGAGAAAGGTTTCGGAGCCCATTGAAAGGCACGAACACTTATAAACGCTTCATAGCAGAGGCCGATGTTAGAAGGGCTTGCAACTGTGAGAGGCTCTGTCTGCTGGAACTTGTGGCTCAATTTCACGACAACACATTCTACCTCAAATTCTTTGTGTTTATTGGAAAAAAGTTATTCTTGTTGGATATCCCCAAAACGGAGTACTAAATTACTGAAATCTCCACTGCTATCTCACAATTTCAAGGCATGGAGCACCTTTCCTTGGTATGCTGTGAGACGGAGATTGGAGGCAAATCTAAACGGGCCATATTAGACCCAGTCTTATTGAACGACAAAAGAGTGCTGAACAATTTACTTGCTACAGAGGATAAATATCTTCCACATACTCGTTACTTTAATTGTGTTCAAACAGATATTCAACCGTACATGAGGAAAATGGTGACAGAATGGATGGCGGAGGTAAGCAATGCTGCATGTGTGTAACTTACTGTTGTTGGCCTAACTGGTCAGACGAGGTTCAACAGTTTGGTAGACTCTGATAGGCATAGCCTAGGCCTACACGTCGATTCTAGATTATCAGCCACCTGGACTGACTGACTAGAAGTCTAGATCTATCTAAGGCTTAGATTCTGTAGATCTAGATCTAGAGGTCTATTGTGTGGGCATTTTTATAGACGAACAGAGACTCTCAGCACGAATGAGTCGAATGTCTGACAGAGCCACATCATCAGCCATCATCAGTTCTAAAAGTTAAAAACGGCTTCACGGGTCCATATGGTGCGAATATTAATATTTTGATTTTTAGATGTTTTATTATGTCATGGGTTAGGTTGAAAATTAGTTCATTGTCGTGTCTTGAATGTTGCGATTATCGTGACGAAATTTGACGAGCCGGATTATGCGTTGACAGAAGGCGAACTCCTGAACATTTCAATATGGCTGAGTCAACCCTAGACCTTGAACCCCCCCCCCCCCTTTACCCCAGCCTCATAGCGAGATCTAAACGGGCTTTTAGTAGCCTAACTCTCTAACTTGCATAGCAGAAGTTGTCTTTTTGCAGACAGTGGACGGAAAAAGAAATTAGTCTAGAAATCCCATAACTTTAGATCTAGAATCTTATCTCAAACCACATTCAGGCCTAGACTCTAGATTCTCTAGATTCTAGCCAAACCATGTCAATCATCTCTAGCCTAGCCTAGGCCTACTTTTTTGACATTCTCAAACTCATCTTTGTCTCTGTCGCTAGATTAGATCTAGATTTCTAGATCTAGAATATAGATCTAAATCTAGATCTAGTCCTTACACTTTCTTCAGCTCGTTCGTAACCACAGAACTGTTTTCAAGATGCAGCCTTGATTTAGGCTCCCTACTTTTCTTGTCTGAAGGTTTCCACCTTGAGCAGTTCATTTCCTAATGTTTCATGTGTTGATGAATTGGTTGTTTTTTTGTTTGTTTGTTGTTTTTTCACTCATTCATCATCTATAGATCTAGATCTAATCTAGATCTAGATCTAAATAGATTTAGATCTAGATAGAACCACTCCAGTCTTGAAATTAATAAAAATGATTCATAAAACATTTCAGATGAAATTGTATCATTAAATTTAGGCCTAGATTTTTCTAGATCTAGATCTAGATCTACAAGGTTGTAATGTAATCCACCATATTTATAGAGTCTATAGATCTATTAAATAATAGCCTAGGCCTAGGCTATAAAATCTGATACAAATCTTCCTCATACATTTTGTAATTTGCTCATATTAGATCTATTCTTTTATGAAAAGAACAAATCTATTAAATTATTTCTTGCATGCATGCTTACAGTCACTCTTCTAAGAGTTATCTAATTTTTTGTTATTCTTCATACACAATAGCCTGCATCCTGCCTGATTGAATATAGATTTAACTCCATGGTTCGTAACTATCATGTTTGCAATAACCATCTTTGTTTCTTTCCATTTTCAGGTATGTTCAGAACAAAAGATGGAGGAGGAGGTTTTTCCTTTGAGTGTGAACTATCTGGACAGATTTTTGTGCATTCGGGATATGAAAAGGACAAAATTACAGCTTTTAGGAGCTGCTTGTATGTTTTTAGCTTCCAAATTAAAAGAGAGCACACCAATCACGGGAGAACAGCTTGTGATGTACACAGACCATTCAATTACGTTGGAGGATTTAACGGTACTACTTTATTTTTACTTCTGTCTTTGAAATTTACTTCAAACTGTCTTTGTCGTTCTTTGTCGTCTGCCTGCTGGTATTTCTTTTCTGAAGTTATTAGAGTTCCATAATAAAGGGATTTCCTTGCAATCTGTCAAAGTTGGGGATATTATATATAAGACTTAGGCTCACTTAGAAGATACACTAAGAAGATACACTATTAAATTAGGCTGGAGTCTTCAGCATTCCATTGCTTGTAATATACTGTAGGCCTACTCTTTATATTTTACTATTATTAGAACTAATGATTAGTGGTTCAATAAACAGCTGGACTGAGTTACATTTTCTAGCTGCTCTAGTAAGTAGGTTCACACCTGTAGCTCTTGGCTTTTTGTCACTGTCATTGTGATCTTTTTTCAGTACTGGTACTGAAACTTGGGCTATCATTCCCCCCATTTGTTTAGGTTAATGAATCCAATATGTCAGCACTCCTCGTGTCTATCTAGCCTATCTCGTCTTTGTCTCAACATTTTGTCACGTGCTGTCTCCTCAAGTAGAATTTCTCAGAAATGGGATTATGGGATCTAGATTATCTAGATTCTGGGCTAGATTCTATAAGTGAAAGCTTTTGATTTGATAGAGCAAGGAAAAAAAAGTGCCTGATGTTGAAAGTGTGGTTGACTTGGTTTGCTACCCTCTGAAAAACGCACGCGATTTCTCATCGGGAAGGGTAGACCTGCTCATGTCAGCTGGGGTCATGTCTTAGTGTGCTGTGTAGTGTTACGAGCAGCCTGCACATACAGCGGCCGTGTCTCTCCACGATTACGTGGGAACCAGACATCGATTCGGCTAGACAGGCTGTGCGCCGCGCACGGCGACCGCCGTGTTGTAGGGGAAGGGCAGTAACTGTGGGAAAGACGACAGACCTCTCCCAATTTTAGTCTGGCGTGTGCTGTCGGATTTTTTTCCCCAGTGTTTAAGAACAATTAATGTCGACGTGACTGTATATTATTATTCTGAATGTCGCGACTGCAAGTGAACGGATTGTCGAATTAAAAGAAAAATGTTCTTGCCGTTATCCTTTTGTCTTGTTTAAGAAATTGGAAAGTTGGAATCGGTATTTGCAGTTTTTAGATTATATTATATTAATTTTGTTCACTATAGGACAAATAAATCTTCAAATTAATGTCTCTTCAGGTTGTTAATCCTCTCCGTGCAACATTTTTTGCAAACCATTCTGACTTACAGGTCGCTTTCTGATATTCTAGCAAACCAATTTCAATAATCCAAGGCAAGCGGCAGAATTTTCGTTCCCTGTGTGTGTGTGTGTGTGTGTGTGTGTGTGTGTGTGTGTGTGTGTGTGTGTGTGTGAGTGAGAGAGAGAGCGAGAGAGAGAGAGAGAGAGAATGAATGTGTGGGAACACTCTTGTTCCACTTACCACCCCCCTGTGTTCCGATAGCAGCCGAGGCGAGCTACGCAACCTTGTTTTGGTTTTATTGGGTGCCACCGTGTAACGGCGCCAGGGTCATGGGAAAGAAAGCGATGGCACCTGATGTCGATTGAGGCGTTACGGCCGGTGCCGACTGGGTGGGTTGGGTTTTTTTGTTGTCTTTTTTAGCGTTACATGGAGTCAAGGCTTTCTTTCCCACAAATTATGTACCTGACCAGTAGACCTCCGGTTTATAAAGACAAGTTTATTGGGTTGCTGATGCACGTCTCTCTCTCTCTCTCTCCCTCTCTCTCTCTCTCTCTCTCCCTCTCTCTCTCTCTCTCTCTCTCTCTCTCTCTCTCTCTCTCTCTCTCTCTCTCTCCTCTCTTCCTCCTCTCTCTCTCTCCCCTCCTCCCCCTCTCCCCCTTCTCTCTCTCTCTTTCTCCCTCTCCCCCCCTCTCTCTCTCCCCCCCTCTCTCTCTCTCTCTCTCTCTCTCTCTCTCTCTCTCTCTCTCTCTCTCTCTCTCTCCTAATTCGCCCTTCTTCTCGTCGTAGCGTATGAACCAGGAAACGAAAACAAAAATCGCCAGTTTCACGCTTTTGATAAGAGCTCTTGGCTGCTTCCCTTGGCCTATGCCCGCATCAGGGTGGAGATTGCGTTCTTTATCAGAGATGTACGCGGAAGTGAGTCAGCTCAGCGGAAATGAGTACTCAGCTTTGCGTTCCGGGTTGTCGGCAAGGTTGTTTCTTTTTTTTTTTTGAGGAAGGGGGGGGATTATTGGTTCGGGCCATCCGATACTTAATCACTTTTTCTTTTTGGCTTTATAGTCATGGGATTTATAATACGCCTTGATAAAGGGCTGCCCCAGTGTTGTGGCCGTCCCCCCAAATTTTAGATTAATGTGTTGATTTAATAAGCCTGGTGTTTAGGGATATATTTAACACTCATTTGTGTCAGTGACCCCCTGAAAGTTTTGCTATACTGTTTGTTTTTCAACATTTTTGTTTGAAGAAATTATTATTTGTGTGTATGTGCAAGCAAAGTGTTTCACTTGAGTGGGTAAGATTGAAGAATACCGGACCAGCGGACTGACTTTGCCTATGTCTCAACCTTAGGAATTCATAATTTTCCCGTTTTTAACATCTCTCAATGGAGAATCTCGGACCGGTAGATCTATTCATTAAAATTTTGTCAGGGGGGAGACCCCCCTGAACTCCTCCACCCCAACCACCCGCCCCACCTACCCCACATTCTCGCGCAATAATGTACGAGTGGTCCGGTATTCTTCAATCTTCCCCTTGACTGAATGAAGGATTGTTCTGCTTCTATTCTTTTACAAACCTCATTTTTCAAAATACATGTACTTTTGCCACTTAAAATCTATACTCGACCTTAGTGTGTAATAGTAATACCTTACGCGTCCTTCCATCTTCCCTTGTTCCTCATCGTACCAACCACGCTAATGCGCACCACCTCCTCCCCTCCTCCCCTCTGTTGACCTCGTGTAGGAAATGGAGTCCCTGATCCTACACCTCTTGAAGTGGGACTTGTCAGCCATCGTGCCCAATGATTTCTTGGACCACGTGCTGCACAGGATGCCGCTGTCTCGGTTCGAGGCGCCCATCATAAAGAGGCACGCGCAGACGTTCGCCGCCCTGTGCGCCACAGGTGAGTTCCCAGTCACCCGCGACCACAGGCCAGCAGCCACACTTGTCCCTTCGCATTAGTAGTATGATACACTGGAGTTTTCCTTACACTATCACTAGATTCTAGATCTGCACCCAAATCGTCGGGACTGCCGGAGGTTTTAAAAAAAATAATATTCTGGTTTTTTTTTTTAAAACTGGCTTTCGGTTTAGAGAGGTTGCTCGAATAGGCCAAAAGGAGGAAAAAAATGGAGGATTTAAAAAAAATGTATTTTAATATTTATTTTTAGTTTACAGACTGTTTTTGCATGTAAAATATTTGGTTTAAGTGGACACCACTGTATTGTATATGGTCTGGTTGGCTCATCCTTTTCCCTCCATTCTCTCTTTATAAATAGCCTAGTGTTTAGGGATATAGTTAGCACACATTTGTGTCAGTGACTCCCTGAAAGTTTTGACATACTGTTTGTTTTCATTATGCATATTTTGTCACTGGCGTCTGTGGTGTAATGGTTAGGCATGCTTTACCATCGAATGCAGAAGACCCGAGATGGAGTGGCTCGGTCTTTCTGCTGAGATATTGTGTCCTTCTCAACCCATTTTGACGCTGATGGGCATGGTTTAATGAAGTAGCCTGCCTCCTAAATAATCTAGATTGTGTTGATGGGGGCACAAGAGTACTGTGCTTAAAGTTTCCATTAATTCAATTATTGAACTTTTATATTAACATTCTTAGTCTTTTTTAATATCAGCATTCATTTGTATATTTTCTTGGGGATGTTACATTAATTTATTTTTTTAAAGTATTGGTTTGGGGGGGGGGGATGTCGGGAGGGGGCTTTGTAGTGTTCCCGCAATCCATGTGTTTGATAAGTTAGGGTGAGTATTGCATTCCACTTATTTATATTATGCTGTAGGTTAGACAGACGTATGTGTGTGTGTGTGTGTGTGTGTGTGTGTGTGTGTGTGTGTGTATTCTTGGAGTGAACCCTTTGTTTTCGCTCTCCCCTTCCTTCTTTCCTTCTTCCTCGCATGCTAGCGGCGGGCTGTGCCAATACCGGTACAGTGTTGGAAGTCGTTGTGGTGGTATGCTAATCAACAAGCCTGACATTGGTTGATCCACTCACGGGATTTTTTCCCCCTTTTTTTTCTTTTAGTCTTACCCTATGTTGGCCCTGTCTGCCTCCCTCCTTTGTTTGGCCACTTTATTCAACACATTAACCCGCCGCTGAACTTGTAAATGTGCGCCGGTGCATCAAGGGTTGAGACCTCCGCCTATCTGGCCCGGCTCTCGCCCATAAGATAAAACAAGCGACCTCCTCTCTCTTTCCTTCTTCGACCACTGCATGCTGCATGCACCGTCCGCTGTGAGGGCACCTGACAATCTCTCTCTTGTTTCTCTCTCTCTCTCTCTCTCTCTCTCTCTCTCTCTCTCTCTCTCTCTCTCT